GGCCGGTCGATTTTGGAACCGCGACATTGGACAATAGGGCCGGTCGATTTTGGAACAGTGACATTGGACAATAGGGAAGGCCGATTTTGGAACCGTTATATTAGACAATAGGGCAAGTCGATTTTGGAACCGCGACATTGGACAATAGGGCAGGTCGATTTTGGAACCGTGACATTGGACAATAGGGCAGGTCGATTTTGGAACCGCGACATTGGACAATAGGGCAGGTCGATTTTGGAACCGTGACATTGGACAATAGGGCAGGTCGATTTTGGAACCGACCATTTGGCAATAGGGCAGGTCGATTTTGGTACCGCGACATTGGACAATAGGGCAAGTCGATTTTGGAACCGTGACATTGGACAATAAGGCCGGTCGATTAGGGAACCGTGACATTGGACAATAGGGAAGGCCGATTTTGGAACCGTGACATTGGACATTAGGGCAGCTCGATTTTTGAACCGCGACATTGGACAATAGGGCAGATCGATTTTGGAACCGCGACATTGGACAACAGGGAAGATCGATTTTGGAACCGTGACATTGGACAATAGGGCAGGTCGATTTTGGAACCGTGACATTGGACAATATGGCAGATCGATTTTGGAACCGTGACATTTGGCAATAGGGCAGGTCGATTTTGGTACCGCGACATTGGACAATAGGGCAGGTCGATTTTGAAACCGTGACATTGGACAATAGGGCAAGTCGATTTTGGAACCGCAACATTGGATAATAGGGAAGGCCGATTTTGGAACCGTGACATTGGACAATAAGGCCGGTCGATTTTGGAACCGTGACATTGGACAATAGTGAAGTTCGATTTTGGAACCGTGACATTGGACAACAGGGAAGGCCGATTTTGGAACCGTGACATTGGACAATAGGGAAGGTCGATTTTGGAAACGGGACATTGGACAACAAGGCAGATCGATTTTGGAACCGTGACATTGGACAATAGGGCAGGTCGATTTTGGAACCGTGACATTGGACAATAGGGCAGGCCGATTTTGGAACCGTGACATTTGGCAATAGGGCAGGTCAATTTTGGTACCGCGACATTGGACAATAGGGCAGGTCGATTTTGGAACCGTGAAATTGGACAATAGGGCAAGTCGATTTTGGAACCGTGACATTGGACAATAGGGAAGGCCGATTTTGGAACCGCGACATTGGACAATAGGGCAGGTCGATTTTGGAACCGTGACATTGGACAATAGGGAAGGCCGATTTTGGAACCGTGACATTGGACAATAGGGCAAGTCGATTTTGGAACCGCGACATTGGACAATAGGGAAGGCCGATTTTGGAACCGTGACATTGGACAATAGGGAAGGCCGTTTTTGGAACCGCGACATTGGACAATAGGGAAGGCCGATTTTGGAACCGTGACATTGGACAATAGGGCAGGTCGATTTTGGAACCGTGACATTGGACAACAGGGCAGGCCGATTTTGGAACCGTGACATTAGACAATAGGGCAGTTCGATTTTGGAACCGTGACATTGCACTCAATTTTTCGTTGTAGTTTGATATGATAATTAATATCACAAAATTTTTTTCAAAATCGTTACCGTTTTTTTTTTTTAGAAAATCAGTGTGAAGGTTACGCTTAGGTTCAAAATCGTAGCGTTGGAGTTTCATTCTGGTGACCAATGTCTTATAGTACAGTTTTATAAAATTTATAATTTACTGAAACTTTCCAAATTTTATATGGACAAGATACAAAGCACACGCACATAATTACTAAAGCATTGTGCCATCAAATAAGACCTTTATTTACTTCAAAGTGAAATTATACTCAGCAATTTAGCTATATTATGATGTAATCTATTATACAGTGCAGTAAGTTTTAGTCTGATTTTCAATAAACAATGCAAATTTAAAAACATTTTGTCTTATGATTTGGGCTCAGCAGTATTATGATGTTATATACACGTTTATCTATTTTTTGTTTTTATTAATTAAGATCTAACGAATGATATTCATTGAGTCGCCTTTTTTGTAATATCTAATTTTTTAGAGTTTTTTCTTATCGAATACAGTAAAAAAATTGCATATTTTGCTTGTGGTGATTCATAATTAGAATTCTGGTTTGAATATATTTACTATTCAATATATCTAATATAAAAAATATCAACCATATCTGGATTTATCTTGAAATAGTAAAATTCTGAAGTCAGTTTGTAAGCAAAAACCTGTGCAAATTTGGTATTTCTCTCCATTTGTTTCAGACGATCTTTAAAACTAAATGCTCAAAAACTGCTAAAAGTTATGAATGTAATTTTTGATGCCATAACTTATTACATCAAACTCCATCTTTCAAATTGAGTGCAATGTTGATATTCTAAAAACGATGAAAAATCAACCTGCCTTATTTGGACAATCGGAGATTAGTTTATCTGCCTTTCCATTGGACTAAATGACACATAACTTACATAGCATTATGGCTGTAGCTTTATAAATCTATTTTATTTCTAACTCGAACTGGTACATCGACTCGTTAAACTAGTTTTATTAAAATTATAATTTTTGGTTTAGTGCCGTGGTTACCAAAGTGGGGCAATTCGAGAATCAGTTGTTAACCTTGATTTTTTCTAGTGAGTCTGTGTGAGTATAAGGATTTTCCAAGCGTATCTTAGATGTGGCACAAAGCCGAAAGTACAGGATAGTCAGTGAGGATCGAACTCACTATTCAGTCATAATTGTTCTTGCGAGACAAGCTCGAATAATTACGACTGAGTAGTGAGTTCGATTCTCACTGGGTGCCTCCTACTTTTGGCATGGTGCTACCTCTAATCTACGCATGGAAAATTACTATTTTGGCCTTGTGCCACAATTGCTGTATTTTAACGCAATAAATCTCGAATCTGTGTGAGTATGAGTCTGTGTACAAGTTAATACATACGGTGCATATACAGTATGCATACATAAAATGCTTACATAAAAATACTCGCGTGTACGTATGTATATGTGTAATTACGTAAATGCTGTATATTGACAGACAACGTTTAAGGGGAGGTAACTAGGTATGCTGTAGAAAAGTTCCAGGCTTGAGTAATTACTAGATAAAGGAAAAACTATTAAGGATAATCTATTGTACACATTTTAAAATGTTTGTGGAGTATTCGTAATTAATTTTATTGAGGTTTGGTTTCAGTTTTTTTTATATAAATAGCTTCGATAATTTTTAGTTTGTGTTTATTCTTTTCGTGGAAAAGTATGGAGGTATTTTCGACGAGGATCTTTCTGAATTGGAAATATTATTCAGGTGAAGACTTAGCCTACGTGAAAGCGTTGTTGTCGTGTGTCCAACATTTATATTTAACAATATCCTGATGATGACATTAGGCTATGTCGAAAGTACTGGGAATAAATACAATATGAGTCAACACGGTGTTTTCCTCTCGTCTTTTAACAATCGCACAAAAAGCTTCGCGAATATGAAAGGATCCTATCGAGAATAAGTACACAGAACGTGTCTAAATTATTTAACGAAACCTTTCTGAATGAAAACATGCTGGCGAAATACATGCATATATATATATTTTGAAGAAAAACAGACCACTTTAAGGTACCATTATGATAATTTATTTTACCAGAACGTGATGGTCACTCCTCCTCCCCCAATACTAAATATGATTGAGAGAGATATAAAAATTAAACCCTCCCTAAATTCTACCATGTCTCTCTAACTACTCCTTTTAAACTCTCTGTTAAATTACAAAAACTTACACTATCCATCAATTTTAATTTCATCTTTCGTTTCATTTCATTTTTGGAAGTGCTATCTGATGATCCGGCGTCCTTTAAAAGGGCTCTGGTGAAATAAATTATTATAATGGAAGCTTAAAGTGGTCTGTTTTTCTTTTAAATATTAGCTCTGGCTTTATATTGAGCTCTCTGGATTTCATCCTCCTTGGGATTACCCATACGGATTACCAAGTTCTCCATAGCTTAATTAATATATATATATATATATATATATATATATATATATATATATATATATATATATATATATAACACAATATTTTTTTATAAATATTGTAAAATTCTAAAATTAAATGGTAATACTATTGCATATACCAAGTTCTTAAGGAAAGTCCTTTTAGTCTTCCTCCATGTGAATCGGGATTTTAGAAATGTTTGGGGGGGGTGGCATACCCCCCAAGTTTGGGAACCACTGGTTTAGTGCGAACTCGCGAAAATTTTCTATATTACAAAAAGAATGTGATGCAAGACGTTAAATCGATTTTCCTTGGATGACGACTAAGTGACATTTTTAAAACTTAAATCTAATTTTAGTTAAGCTACCGACAGTATCAACAGGTGTCCATTATCATATTAGAATTATTCAAATTGCAGAGTACCCGTCAAATTTAACAGCATTTTCTTTTTACGTATGAATAGGGACATTTTACCTTTAATGTTTTTGCACTTTGACTGGAAGCAAAGGGAAAGATATGAATCCAACTATTCAGTCCCCAGATATGGGTTAATTAGTAGCACTTGTATCACTAAATCATTATCTCTAAAAACAACAAATTCTTACAATCAAAAAATATTTTCTGGCTTTAAATAATCTGCAAAGGGTAGATAAACCGTAAAAAAGAATCAATAAAAATAATTAAAGAATCAAAGACTTTTTATAGAATCTTCTAATAACGTTGTACTTTAACTTTGAATATTAGGCCATCGTTATTCTTAATTTTTGAATGTGCATATATATATATATATATATATATGTGTGTGTGTGTGTGTATATATATATATACACACACACACACACACACACACACATATATATATATATATATACACGATTCAGGCTAACCACGCTGGGCTGCTTTTGAAAACCGATGGCGACGCCTCATTCACCCTAGTCTCGTCTGGCTTTGCCACCTGTCAGTCCAGAAGCATCTCTACATATCGAAGTCTTCTGTTAGTGCAACTAGAGAGATTGTATCCATCCCCAGCTTGCTAGGCCTATCGCGTAGCTTACAGGACCTGATATTCACTAGTGATTACCCATCTGAGTAGTGACCAGGCTCAACATTGCTTAACTTTGGTGATCGGACAATAACCGGTGTTTCAACGGGATATGGACATAATTTTATTCGTATCAATTATTTCTTATTTACGGATAACCTTCAGGGAATTTCGAACTGCACGATTTATTTAATTAATGGTGGGAAACTGTTCTCATTCCGTCGACCATGTCTAGGAATATCTTGTTTTTTTTTTCTTTTTTTAGTACTGCCCCGTTATTGTCCGACCTGAATTAATTGCTTACAAGGGACACTAGCCTAAAAGATCAAAGCGTTAGTTCGTAAATTTCTTAGACAGATAGTAAATGACAGAGTATTACTAATATATATATATATATATATATATATATATATATATATATATATATATATATATAGAGATTATAATAAAAACATTTTGAAATCGTTACACAAAAGCTTTCATGTTTCAATACTATGATTGTACTTTCTCAGGTGCTGGTTGGTAACTGGTGAAGAAATATTTTTAGGGAAATTTAAAAACAAAACATTACTTCTATTCCGAAAGTTAAAGAGGGCGCATAAGGTCAGAATTAAAAATATACTTGTGGGTGTGTCTCGATTAACCAATTGAAAGTCAGATCTACGCTAAATAGAAAAATAAGGTCAACAAGTGGAGGTGGGTGCGCTATTTTTTCATGTCACGATAAACCGGCGCTTAGACATGTCATCTTTGACGATTGTGGAGAATAAGACAGCGACAAATGTATCATGGATGTAGCCAAATATGGCATTCTATTTGTTGAAGTGATGGGGGAGTTTAATCAGACGTAAAGTTATCAGAAACAAGTTTTATAAAAAATTATATATTCGGGAAGCTTCTTAAAGTTAATACAATAGAGATATTAAAGTTGAATAAACCAAATCAAGTAATTGCCCGTAGAGGGTGGACCATTATATACTAATAAAATGATGGGTATAAAATTGTAATACGTAATTGTTTTTATATATAAAAAAAATAACTATATTTTAAGGTAAAAGATAGACGGCATTAATTTTATTTTGTATTGAGCATCTTTTAAAAAAGTAAACGCGACGAACTGTGGATTTTTACTCCATTTGTTCTTTCTCATATATATACACACACACACACACACACACACACACACACACACACACACATATATATATATATATATATATATATATATATATATATATATATATATGTAAAAATATAGTTTTAAAGTGTTGTATATTTATGGGGTAAAGTGCTTAATATAAGAGATAGAGCGTATGTAAATATGAAAGTTAACATTTAAGTCAACACTAAGAGGCGACAGACTTTTTCATTCTAGACGCAATCATCATTTCACGATAATTGCGTATAGCATGAAACAGTCTGTCGCCTCTGAGTATTGGCTTCAATGCTCACTTTATGTACATACATACATACATATACACACACACACACACACACACACACACACACATATATATATATATATATATATATATATAGATAGATAATATTAGTGGTAAATATACATACATATGCAAAATATATAAATACCCATACATGTATATTTTTTTGAATAAAAATTCCAAGAGGATAGAATCCAGGTAGAACTCAATGTCCAGGACAGAGTAGGGATATAATAAAAGGCTTAAACACTAATATTAGTGTTTAAGCCTTTTAGTATATATATATATATATATATATATATATATATATATATATATATATATATATATATACAGGGTACGAGGGATAAATTGTCGTCTAAATTACGCAACAATTAAAATAATACTGATATCTCATTTTAACAGATATATTTACCCAAAAATATTTTAAAATACTAAAGACTACATTTATTCAATAAAATCGCCAGGGCCTTCAGACGACCTCGGAATCTCCTGCAACTCTTTTAGACAGTCTCCTTGTTTAAGTTGGTGAAGGCTGCCATAATCCTTGCCTTTAGTTCATCTTTGACATAACAAGAAGTTTTGTTTGTATTTCCCTCAATAATCAAGGGGATTGCAGTCTGGGGAGTTAGGTGGCCAGATGTAAGAGGTGGTGTGGTCGCAGAAATTGTCTGACAACCAGGACTCGGTTCGCCTGCTTGTGTGGCATAGTGCAGAGTCCTGTTGCCAGACATAGGTTCTTCCATCAGCCACCCTCTTGACCTATGGCAGCACTACCACCTCAAGGCCACCGTATTGTCTGAGGCCCTGTGGGAAGATGAATGGAGACATACAGTCACCACCACTACTGATTACTCCAAACATTTTCGTAATCACCATTAGACTCATTCACCTCTTTCCTAATCCTCTGCACTGTTCTCAAATTGACACCCAAACACTCTGAAATGTTCGTATTGGACCTTCCGGCTCGAATGCCAAGCAGTACAGCATACTTTTTCCAAATTTCTGCCTGAGTGAATTGCATCATGGCGCTCTTTTTCTCACAGACGGTGCCCAACTGACTCTACTATACGGTGCAGTCGACAAAACCAAAAATAACGCGCATGCGTGAAATTAGAAATATAAAATGGCGACAATTGACCCTGTATATAAAGACATGGACAATGAGACGAGAACAACCTGCACCATTAGATTAAATAGAAAGTTAAGCAACCTCGAGACTAGTCAGTACCCAGATGGGTGACCGCTTGGTCCACTGTCTTACGCTAGACATTTTTTCTCTCCAGATTCTATCTTACATATTTATAAGACTACAATTCGTCCATGCTTTGAATATTGCTGTCACATATGGCATATCGGCTTCATTCACTTTACCATCGTCGTAATTAAGATTCCCTCTGTTTCTTCTATAGATACTTTCAAGGTAATTGCTTTGATGAATTTTCCCACAATGGTATTTAGATTTTATGAATTTAAGCGCAGTACTAGATTGGCGGCAAAGTTTCATCATTTTACAGTTAAAATGACTTGATAAAACCGTAAGTTCTATGCTAACAGTTTCTTGCTTGTTGAACTACCTCCAGAGTTCTTGCTTTTCGGTCAATTTTGATCATCAAAATTTAAATGCAATGTCGATTGTTCTTTTATTGTTCTCGATACTTAATAATATTTCGCTTTTTCTTATTCTTTCACATTCAGTAACCCCTTGTGTCTTAGTGGCTTTATTGCCTTGCATGCGGTGAAAATATGACTCTACACTTTGGCTCACTTCAGTTCTGGAATCTCCAAGAAAATTGATTCAAATAGATTCATTATAAATACTATTGTTTGGATACTGGATAAGCGCTCCTTACATTTCATTGGCAGATAAGTCTCGAGACAATAGAAAAATATGGGCCTTTCTTTTCATTATGTCTTTTTCTTCTACTTCTTTTTTGTTCGAGTTGTTCTAAAGAAATGTCTTTTGTCATCTTTCGAAACAGGAAGAGATGTAAGAGACTATTTAGAAAAAAAAAAGCATTTAAAGAAAACTAATTTGAAGATCGATAAATGTTAAGGAAATAAAGAAACACGACGAAAAATATCCGAATAAAAGTAAAATGAAGAAAAAACGTAACAAAGTAATAATACGTACGACATCAAAAGATGGAGTCGGATATCTTGAGTATATGTAAAAACCGGAATGGGCAGAAAACGATATATAAAATGCAAACACACTTGTTTCAACCGACAAAAACAACACAAACACTGCGCATACAATGATACACGCATTTGTACACACATTTTTATGTACATGTATAAACAAGATACGAATATATTCATAGAATTTTGTAAAGACAGACAAAAAAAACTGATGGTGTATTTATTTGATCACGTTTTATAGGCGCATGCGTATTTTCACAGATAAGTTTTTATATGAAAACTATAAATATTATCTCTGAAGGTATTATCTAGAAAAAAGAAAGAAAAATCATAAAGAAAAGGGGAAAGTATAATGACGAGAGAGAATGAAAAAAAAAGAACGAATAAAGGAAGAACAGAAGGAAAAGAAAGAACAAAGGCAAAGGAATAAGAGAAGAAAGAATAAAAGAAGGTAGCAGAAGGAGAGGGAAGAAATGAAAATAAAGAAAGAGAAAAATCCAAATCACACGAGAAAAAAGAAAGAGATAACGAACGATATAAAGTGGAACTATTAATGAAAACAGTGATATAATATAAAAAAAAAGGGATAGACGAAAGAAAGAAAATGTCTGTATAAAGAAAGAAAGACAGAAATGGTAGAAAAAGAATACGTATAAAGTAATCATGTCGATGACGATGGAAAATACAATGGGAGACTATTTAGAAAAAATAAAGATTAAAAGTAAAACACTAGAAGAAAGAAAATGGAGGAAAAAAAAAGAAAAAAAAAAGGAAATGAAAGAAACTGAAAAAGAAAGAAAGAAACAAAAAGAAAGATCGAAAGTAAAACAATTTAGAATAAAAAAAGTGAGGTGTGATTCAAGACAAGGGAAAGAAACTGCCAGCATAGAACTTACGGTTCCATCTAGCCAGCTCAACTGTAAATTGATGAGATCTCGACACCAGTCTAGTACTGAACTTAATTTTAAAAAAAGTCTACGTACCATAGCGAAGAGCGATATTTATTCGCATGATAATACAAAATGTGGCACAAGGCCAAAATGGGGAATGGGGGGAAAAGGAAGGTCTTCATTTGTCTTAAATTTAAACTTAGCTAGCCACAATCACTGACCCAAACATACCACAATATTCCTTACAACGCATTCTTACTTACCATTCTTACTACATCCACCATAATACCTCATTGTCTCTATGAAAATCTGAACTAGACCCACATGTACAACTTCATGATCCGAACAATTACCATGAAAATATTTATAAAAAAGGGCGCAGAGAGTCAATCTTAAGGCGGTGGGAAAGTTATTGAAGCTGAGTCGCCAGATCAGGACCAAGAATATTGCTGATTCTTTGGATTTTATCAAGGAGCTCAAGGTAAATAGCAGGGGCACCGGACCATATATGGCAGCAATATTCTAAGTTACAACATCTTTACTGTGACTTCTATCTTTTCTCACGACAGACTAACGGACCAGAATTAAACCAGTGTGACGCACTCCAAACCTTCCAACCTTCCTTTCTTCATCCTTACGTGTCA